AACAGCACTAATCAAATCGGTTTGAGTATATATGAATCGAGAATATGATTTCTTAGAAATCTTCTCAGCATCATTGCAATCATCCATAGTTCTGTTTTAATTAAAATTGTATTAGGTCACTTTATGAGTTTAGCAATTTGCAATAATTATTGTATTATATTCAGATGATGAATGTAATTTAAACGAAACGAAGGAAAAATATTTATATGATTTTGTAATGTTCATTTACTGGATAAGACAAAATAGTATGAAATCTTGGTTACCACATTTTATTGAAACCAGTACATGAACACCATCAAAACGCATAAATTAAGTAATCAGAACTTACCAAAACCTATTAAAACTGAATTTCCCTCCTATTTTCTATGAATATTATTACGATTGGTTTAAATTTAACATTATTTGAGTTCTTAAGACCTTAAACAAATTTTTTTTCTATAATCAAAAATTAAAAAAAATGATAATAACAGTATCATTTACAAATTGGAGGGAAAACTTATCATTTCATATAAATGATAATCGTTCGTATGTTCATGAAAAATCACGTGTGGCAACATAAGAATATTATGATTGTTTTATGTAGTATAAATATAAAGTGGTCAAAAACATACGGCTTCAATTTCTTACCTTCCAAAACACAAAGTATCATCTTCCACAAAAAACGTAATGAAAACTTATTCCACATCAATTTAAATAACACCATTATATCATATACAGATAAAATAAAAATACTAGGTATGACTTTCGATCACAAATTAAATTGGAACCCACACCTAAAAAACCTCAAAATAAATGCAAACAACAACATGAAAATTATGAAAACCTTATCTCACCACTCCTGGGGCTCTGAAAAAAATAGAATCATTACTATATATAAATCAATTATACTAGCAAAAATGGAATACGGTGCAGTCATTTATAATACGGCCAGAAGCAAAATTCTCAATATACTAAATCCTATACACAATCAAGGCATTAGACTAGCCACAGGTGCCTTCCGCACAAGCCCAACTGCAAGTATTATGTGCAACGCTGGATAACTCCCACTTGAATTTAGAAGGATTAAAGAAACACTAAAATTTGTAACTAAATTCTCAAATAACAAAACTCAAGTTCCAACCAGAAGACCTCTGAATATACATATCAGTCCAAACATACCTCGCACTATCGATGACACGTCTAAGAACATAGCAGATATAATGAAGTTCAAACCAATTATGTTTAACAAAATTATCTTCCCGTCTTCCCCTCCGTGGATGCGGAATATTAAGCTCAATACCCAACTACTCGAATTCGACAAAAAAATCTCCTCAACCTCAACTATAATAAATAACTTTTCAGAAATAATAGAAGGAAAATACCCTCACCACATAAAAATCTTTACGGACGCCTCAAAATCCCCAAATGGAACCGGTTTCGCATTCATAGAAAATAACAAAATTTCAATGTTCAAATCTCCTCACGAAACCACCATTTTTTCCGCTGAAAGTCAAGCCATCCAAAATGCAATCTCACACGCGACGACCTTAGTGTCTGAAGAAATACTTATAATTAGTGACTCTCTTAGTGCACTCCTAGCCCTCGAAAATCCTTACCCCAAAAATGAAATAATTCAATCCATCCAAGAAAAGTTATCAAACACAACAAAAAAAATCGAATTTCTATGGGTCCCCTCCCACACTGGCATAAGTGGCAACGAACTAGCTGATAAGGCAGCCAACGAAGCAATAGCATCACCCAGCTCGGTACTAATAAATAAAATAACATTTCAAGACGCACTCTCAAAAATAAATAATCTAACTAAAAGTCACTGGCAAGACTCGTGGGAGAAGACTCCAAACACAAATAAACTAAAAGAAATTAAACCATCAATCGACCCATGGAAAACTACTCCATCCTCATCCAGGCACGAAGAAGTAGTTACCACAAGAACCAGGATTGGACACTCTCGCCTAGCACACCTGCACCTCATAACAAAAGAAGACAGACCGACCTGCGAACTCTGTGACAAAGCGCTGACAATCAAACACATCACACTAGAATGCCCCAAGTTCACCGACTCCAGACAAATCCTCGGGAACCCATTAACAATGCAACAAGCACTTGGCGAAGATAACTCCAAAAATATATACAATTTTTTCAAAAATATAGGCTTAGCAAAATTAATTTAGAAAAATAATTGAATGTACATATATTCTACAAACTCCCTCTATTGTTAAACACAATGTGTCCCCATAGCTTTAAGATCAATACTCTATGACTACTATTTTGTATTTTGTATTTATTACAGGCTAATAACCTCAGGAGTTGAAGCCTTATTTAAATAAAAAAAAAAAAAAAAAGTGTACGTGCACTGGATTTCTTAATAATACAATATAAAGTATAATTTGTTCATTCACTTGTAATGTTCATTCATTGGTACTCTTATGATGTGTAATAATTTTACCAAATACAAAATAATTTGTATCATACCCTGACTTAAATTGTTTCCTTAAAACGAATACAAGCATACAGCTTATGATATTTACCATATTTATCATAGACAATGTTAAAAAAAAGGTTAAATTAAATTAAAAAAATTAAATAGTTAAATTTCTTTTTTTAAAAAAAAAATAAGAAATACTTTTTAATTTTTAAAGATTTGTTAATATTTTAGGAAAGAATTGAATAATTTATTTTGAGGGGGATATTACAAGTTTTTTGTGGAGGGGGCTATGCCCCCTAGTTGCGCTTATGGTTAAACTCAAAATCAAAATTGATTATGTCAAAAACTAGTTTTACGTAAAAATTCCAGTTTTTCCTTAATTTTTTCTCCAATTACTAAGAAAAGTATTTGTAACTTTAAATTTTGTCCCAAAAATACCAACTATACAGATTCATTTTTAGAACAGTAAAGTTGATACAATTAAAGATCAAAGCATTTTTTCACAAAAATTCGTGTATAAAGAAAACAAATCATTGTAAAATCAATACATTCATTGCTCGGCTCAGAATCTAAAATAATATAAACTATAATTATTCATTTAAATCACACTGCTAAATGCAATAGCACAATATTAGAGTAAACAATTTAGTAGTGGTGAAGCAATTTTTATCGATATTTTACGTATATGATTTTTCAATTTTTTGGGGAATTTCCAAGGTTTAGGGGGGGGGGGCTTAGCTCTCATACAACCCCCTATCTTTTCTTATGCTGCTAAGTATAAGTACCAATTATGGTATAACGTTTTATTTCCGGGTCATTTAAAATATACTAATATATAATATTTAAATAGTCTCACCTCTCAGATTTTCCATACTTCGATTTCAAACTTAGAAAATATGAAAAATCAAAAAACTGTAAAAAAGATGAAAAATTGAAAACACTAATAATTGAAAATGCACTTGCTAAGAAAAGTTGTACATTCAAAACAAAATCAGGTGCAACTGGTCTGCTTACGTCTCGTCTATAATATAATATAGAGAAATATGATATTGTATCTCCCACTGCACAAATAATTGTATTTTCACAATAATACAAATTCAATCAGTTCATTTCATAGGGGTTTGGAGTATCTATTAAATATAATCTTAAGCATGACATATACTGGCAACTGTAATCGTTATTTTGTAGTTAAAAATGTATAAAATGTTCAACTTTTATAGCTAAGGATTGAACATTTAAAACAAGGTTCCGCGTAAATAGACTAGGTATATATATATAGGTACATTACTTTATTTACAATAATATCATCAAATATACTTAGTAGGTAATATCATAGGCTGACTTCGCTCAGAATCGTTTTTCTTATACAATGATATTATATCATTGAATTCAAATTTAACACCATCCATTACATTGACCCTCTTGTAACCTACTGTACAGCAGAGTGACATCCACTTACCCACCTTTTTTTACTTTAAATTGTACAGAATTATACATAGCCACATAGGTAATATAATATTATCATTTATCGTAATATAAAACAAAATATTATATAATAATAATAATCTTTATTTTATTTTATTTTTTTTTTTTTTAATATTAGTATATTTTTATTGAACAAACATAATATATTTACAATCTGTATTTACATGTGATACAATAAGTAAATGTGATGACGATTTGGTTTACAGGAGGGGGAAGTCACCCAGTGGCGGCACCCCGTGGAAGCGATTTAAGGAGAAAGTAGGTCCCTACACCAGTTCCTTTTCAGGCGCCTGGGTGGATTACCTGGAATTTGATTTGATGAAAGTTGGGTTTTTAGGATTAGAGTGAGTACTGAATGTTTTGTGTGTTTTTTTATAAAAGATTTTGGCAAGGCTGTTTAAGGTTGGAATGCAGATGTCTTTATGGAGTGATTCATTGGTAATATACCATGGGGCACCAGATATTAAACGTAGACAAATAGACTGAAACGCCTGTATTGTTCTAGTATTTGAGGGTTTGGCTGATCCCCAAAGTTGTATGCCATAGTAGGGGAGACCGGGGCTAGTTGACACACTTTATACAATTTTTCTTTCCACGATCAGAATTTCCATTTTAAATACTCGAATTTGTATGTATCCTTTCATTAACATGTAAGCTATGAAATCGTATCATTATATAGTCTAAATATTTAACCCTTTTTTGTACAAAATTTAAAATGTAAAATAAAATTGTTGTGTCAACTAACCCCGGAATCGGGGTTAGTTGACACAGGCATTGGGGCATATTGACACAAAATTAAACAAACTTATTTTGTATAACAAATTACTGTATTATAACAAATATTAAATATTTTTGATTGATAATAATTAAAAACAGGTATTAACCTTAAAATTAATATTTTCATAAACTCATTTTAAGAAATTATATAAAAAAAACTAATAACATTTTTTGTAAAAACAAAATAATAATAATACATAATAGATTATAAGAATAATACATTTTTAAAAATAATTTGAAACTTTTTTGACTTAAGAAAAATATTGAACTGTATTAAAATTATAAAATTAAAAACTTTAAATTCTCTAGAAAACTAATCTATGTCGTCATCTGAGTCACAGTGTTGACAAATATATCGATCTCCTTGACTGGTGCATGCTTCGTGAGACCAATTTTTGCATTTAACGCATTGAACCCATTTTTCTTTGGGGCGACTGGACGAAAATAACTCACAACAAACTAAACACATTGTATCGTCTTCTTCGTCGTCATTTAAAATTAACTTTTTTTTCGCCAACTTTATTGTTTTTGACTGTCGCTTTTTACTTGCACTTGATTTTTTCGCCTGTCTTTCCTGTTTTTGTTTTTCTAATTTTTCTTTCTCGGGTGTATCTGTTAGTATAGCTGTGTGACGTTTCCTAGGATTTGTTCTACCTGCTTTTCTTTGTGGTGCTTTTGGTAATGGTCTAATATATTCTGGTGTTATAATAGGTGATAATGTGTTTAGATTGGCAGGTAAAGGGCTACTTGTAAAATTATTTGAAGTTGACGCAACTGGCTCTTCTGTTTCTGGTAGATTGTTAGTAGAATTATTTGAAGTGGACGCAACTGGTTCTTCTATTAATAGTTGATTGTTAGTAAAATTATTTGAAATATCAGGCGGTAAATCAATGCAATCTTGTTGATTTGGTTCTTCAATTAATACTTCAGGTCTATCTGTAGCATAACCTGGCATAAAATCAACTTCAGTGAAAATATCCGGATTAAATGGATAAATTCCACTGACAGAAAAACCGGATGAAATATTAGTCGGAGTAGCAGCGAGTGGTAATGCTTGCTTAATAATACCAGGTATATCGTATATAGACATCGTTTTTCCAGGATTATTAACTATCCACGAATCACACGTGGTATTGACGTATTTTTTTAAGTGGTCCGAAAACACACCTGTCTAATGGCTGTAACTTATGCGAGCAGTGGGGTGGGAATGATAGCATAATGATACCATTTTCTTTACAATAGTTTAGACCTTCTATTGATAAATGAGATTCATGATTGTCGAGTAACAATAATATTGGTTTCTCTTTTGAACATTTCACAAATCTAACAAAATGTTTTAAATATTCAACAAAATGGGTTTCATTCATCCATCCTGACACGTTTGCACCGCCAGCACAGCCAGAAGGACCATTGGATAAAAAATAATCTCGAAAATTAACTCTGGGAAAAACAAAATATGGTGGAACACTGTTACCTGCTGCTGAAACAGAATACGCCAAAGTAACTAATGTGCCTCTTTCAGCTGATGTTATTCGACCAATTTGCTTAAAACATTTACGAGCTACAACTTTATTGGGTTTATGTACTGTGGTTATACCCGTTTCGTCCATGTTATATATATCCCCCGGACCAAATGAATGACGACTTAAAACGATTTTTAAATTATCAAAAAATCTTTGAACATTTATTCTATTAAAACTGGATTCTCTAGCAAGACTTGTCGCTTCTGGAATTCGTATAGATAAATCAGTCCTACGTTTTTTAAAACTAGTAAACCAATCTGGCCCAGCAATTTTATTTTTCAACCAACTTTCAGGAATGTTTTTTATTTTCAATTCATATGCATACTGATATGCTAGCTTACGAACTTCGTTTGGTGATAAGCCATAATAAATATCTGAAGATTTTTTTATATAAGCAGCAAGCTGTTCCTCTTCACATATTGAAAATACTTGTTTATGTTTACTGTACCCTACACCACTAACATGGTTAATATGATCTTCTTCGTTATCTAAGAGTTCACGTTTTTTACAATAGCGTGATAATGTTTTAAACGGTATATTGTAATCTTGTGCTACACTTCTGCGTGACATATTGTCAACTAAAACTTTTTTTACGGCAATTTTTATTACGTCGATAGGTACTTTTGCTCTACTTGATGTCCTTTTATAATTTCTAACCATTGCTAAATACCTACATATAAGGAAACATATCATTATAAAATGAAAATTTCTACAATGGGGCAAATTGACACGTGTCAATTAACCCCAAACGGTTTTTTCTAATATTTGGCATTTTGGAAAAAAATGGGATGTTTAATTAACACAACAATTATGATATTAATTAGTACGTACTGTTATCTTTATTTTGATGTGTTGAAATTAAATTAATACGTTGTTTATTCTAAAAAAATATATTTTTTTTAAGCATCATAAAAATTACTTTTAACAGATAAATATACAAAATTGATAATAACTGAAATAGATTAAATCGTTAAGTTTTGTTATCACGCATGATAGGGGGTAATCATATGATTGATTCATCGATGGTGCTACAGTTTGTCCAACATAAATTGTATAACTTATATTTGTTATGTGTCAATTTACCCCTGAGGCCAACTTGCCCCGGTCTCCCCTACCACATGGGTCTTAGAAGAGCCATGTATATTGTAATCTTTATTTAACGGAATATAATTCCAATTGTATGTTAAATATACAGTATGGTACAGACATACAGTACCACACTACAATATTATAATATAGTATACATACCTATTTGTAATTAAATATTAATAAAGCGGTAATTACAGTGTATGGCAAGTTCCTTAAAAAAAAAAATTTCTTCCGTTCCTCGATCTTTTTTTAAAAAAAGGAATTTGTTCCTTTGTTGTTCCTTTGGAAAATTAACGAGTTCCTTTTTTAGTTCCAAATAAAATAAAACTTCTTATTTAATCATTTATGTTTTTTTTTTTTTCATATTCATACTTCTTTAATTTTTAATTACCTATAATATATACCTACAAATTTTATAATTCTATTTTGAGATTTTCTACAAAATTAAATTGTTGGCCGATTGTCTTATCGTTTATCGTAATAATAATTATATTTTAAATAGGTACTCATAAAGTGACTAATGAGTAACGATTAACGTCGATACTCGATGTAACGGACACTTCATGTATAGAAACCCAGAAAATAATCGTACAGACCATAGGGTTCTAGACTGTATAGTGTATACTCGAGCCGTATTATCACAGAATGTAGAAACCCCGAATTTCACAAACTGTATAGTTCCAGTCTGTATTTCACCGGAAAAATAAATAGGCCAACCGTATAGTTTACGACCGTAGTAATACAGAATTTTTTTTTTTTGTAAACCTTATAGTTCCAGACCGTATAATTTCCGAATTTGATCATTTTCATGCCGTACTTTTACCAACCGTAAAAATCTGGAAATTCACAAACCGTATAATACTAGACAGTATTTCACTGGAAAAAATAAACACACAAAACGTATAGTAACCGACCTTAGGATTACGGAAAAAATTATTAATGCTTAATTGACGGTCATTCCACGAAGACTGTTAGGTACCTATATATTTTTATAACTTTGGTTATATATTTTAATAGAAAACTGTCTTATATTTTTTTTTCACACAAAATTGACATTTTTAATACTTTTATTAACAAAAGGTACCTACCCTCAACACCGTAGTAAAATACCTATCAAAAAAGTTTAATATTGTCATATAGAAAGATGCCAAATTTTGGATGGACCACCGATATTTTCACCGTAGCTACCCTAATCCAAGGCATACATGTAAATCTAAAATAAAGATGAAGTTTAAAATATTTAAAAACTATCATTGAGAAAATAACTAAAAAAAAAAAATAACAGTACCTAGTTAGTAATTAATTAATTTAGTTAAGGGGAACGCAGCAGACGTATTTTTAATGCGTTTTAGACCAATAAACGGTAGTAACTTACACATACTTCGGAATGTCCGATTTTAATTTTTTATACATGTATGAACTCTTTGACAAAATATCTAAGTTATTTAGGAAGTCGATTTTCAATTTTCAATTTTTAAGAACCTTAAAATAACGATTTTTTTTTCAAAAATCTCATGAAATAATTGCATTACATTTGTATTTATTTTGGGCACATCTAATTTTAAATCAAAAAAGTGATTCCTAAAGAGCTTAGTCTAGCCCTTTGGGCCTCGCCACACTGCGGTATTTTCGCCGTCAGGTCCGGACGGTTTTACCGCCGCGGTTTTTACGTTCGCGAAAAACAAACAAGTTTAAATATAGCGCGCCATACACAGTGGCTTTACCGTTCGCCGCCGCCGCGTACCGCAGCATGCAGCGGTTCGACGGCGACACCGCTCAACCGATCGTATCACGAACGCACTGTCATGAATGCAAAGAGCCATACTGCGTTTTTACTTTTTAATTCAACGGTAATTTAATTTTTATAATTTTTATAATTTTTAAATTTAAATTCACAATGATTGACGTTGAATTATTTATCGTCGAAATTGAAAAACATGAATGCTTGTGGAATGTGACTAGCAAATTATTTATGAATAAAGATTTAAAAAGAACAGCATGGAACGACATAAGTATGGTTATGTTTAAGGATTGGGAAAGTTCAGATCTTCAGGAGCGTGAAGCACAAAGTAAGTTCATTATTTCACATTTTCACAGCTATTCTTTATAATAATATAACAATATTATTATGATATAATCAGTGGCATATGGGTATAAAAATTATTTTCGGAGTGGGCTACAATATACAGCAATCAGAAAGTGATCTAGCAACTAGGTTTTGAGGCTAGTATATTATAATATTAAGTTACTAAAAAGGAACTTTGCCAAAATCATCTTATTAACCTAGATAGTGGTAATTATTTCGCAATAAATACACCTAAAATGTAAAATTATAGGTATAACTGTGTAGGTATCTATATGCTTAAATTTGAACTCATACTTTTTCAGTGTAGATAATATTGATACATTATAATATAGGTATACGATATATCAATTGTATAATGCATATGCTATATATTATATTATTTTCATAGAACCATAATATTAAACATCAAAATGTAATTTATTTTTAGTAATTATTTTTAGTAATGAGTTTACCATACGTTGTTCATGAACAGGAAGAGGAAAAGTTATTTCTACAAAATTATGTGACACTAAAATTGTAGTAGTGTTAAAAAGTAAAAACATTTATTAATAATAGTTATTTTTCACATCTAACTTTATTTATTTTTTTAAATCTATAATTAATTACAGGGTGTATAATGAATGGTCAAAAGGATTATAGTGATGCTTTATTTGAGTCAATTTTAGCTGATTGGTTCCGTTATGCTACAAGACACAAAAGATCATTAGAATAATATTTCTATCCTTTAAATAATAATTTATAATTTATCTACCTTGTAAGAAGATTTTACATGAAAATAAAATATTTTATAAAAGTATTAGGACTTAATAGTTTATATTAATTACCCAATTTAAAAATATTATTATGTTGGTATTTATAAATGCAAATGTTTGATTGAGAGAATCATTTCTTTTTGGGGCCCAACTTGTTAAGTACCTATTTAATATTTCTAGAAAAAGAGAAGAAAAGAGCTTTGTCAAATAACAGGTCGTCACTTGAGAAGAATTATACAAGCTGAGCAAGATAGATACACAGCCAATTTAGGAACTTCTTTGCAACAACCTTCAACTTCCACGATGAATACAATGTCAGAAGCTACAACTTCTCCTGTGCAAAATGAAATTCCAAGTAAAACATTGGTATCAAGTTTATTAACTTGTACTTATAATACAAATAATAGCGAAGAATCTATGTGTTTTATTGATAGTTTAACACCTGAGACTGTGAATAATATTGTTAGTACTACTATTTCAAATGAAAAAATTGGTATATGTGATAAATTAAGAACTTGGAATGTAGAGTTCAATGTATCCCATAATTGTTGTTTTAAACACTATGTTGTTTTAAAAGGAAAGTTAAAGAAAAACTTTTATGTACATTTTTTGCATTTGGTTACTGCAATAAGAATCCTTGTTACACCTGAAACATGTATTTCTATAAATGCAACCCCTAAAATATTACTTGACACTTTTGTAAAAGATTATGTTACTTTATACGGTGAAAAGTTTATTAATTACAATGTGCATAGCTTAATACATCTACCATTTTTTGTTTTAAAACATGGTCCACTTGAATCTTTTAGTTGTTTTAAATATGAAAACTTATTGCAAGAAATAAAAAAATTCATGAAATGTTCAAGGTTTCCTCTGCAAGTAGTTTCTAATAGAATTTATGAAAAACTGGACCAAATTAAAAATATTTCACAATCAAAATATCCTAAATTGTTTAAAGAATTACCTAAAACTCCTCATTTATCGAGTGACAAAGTGTATGAAAAAGTAATTCTGAAAAATGTTTCAACTTTAAACATAAATTCCATAAATAATAATTTCATCATGTTAAAAAATAAAGATTTGGTTTTTGTTGAACAAATTCTAATGACTTCAAACAATGAAATCAAATTTCTTGTCAGAAAATGTAATAGTTTTTCATCTTTTTTTAATCTACCTAATTTTTCTTCCAATGATATTGGCTCATATAGCATAGATCTTCAATTTATAAGTACACCTTATCCTATCCAAGTAAATGATTTTAAATGTAAGTGTTTTTATATTCAAATATCAGTGAACAAAGCAGTAGTTATCACTCTATGTCATGATATAGATATACCACAGTAGTTTTTTTTTTTAATAATTATTATAATATTGTGTTGTAAAATGTTTGATAAACATGTGATGAATTAATAATATTAATTTATTAGGTAATTCTTTTTAATGAAATTATTAATTGTTTTTTTTTTGTGTCAATTAGAATTTACGAATGTTAATATCTAACGAATATAATGTACCTACATACCTACCTAATCTATTTGGAGTAAATATATTTTATGTATTATGTACCTATTGTCATTGATTAAATATACAATTGTACCTAACAACCTATATATTAATTTTGCAGTTGTATTATATAATGTAAAATCTAAGTAGCTACCTATAGTATATTACTATGTATCATAAATTATTTTAAGTTAAATTACCTATGTGCTATATTGATGTTAATTAATTCATATTTTTCATTGATAACATATTATAATTGTATACTTTATAAAAATAAAATTGTTTTGAAGTAAAATAAAACACTTAGCTTGTTATTAATTTGTTTTTTATTTTAAGTATAAATAAAATGTTTGTTCCTTTTCATATTTTATAGTAGGTAGTATAAAAAAATAATATGAATACTTAAAAATAATGAGTAATGAAACGTATAGGTATTATTTTAATATTTTATTTATATTAATATTCTAAGATATTTTAAGAATTAAATTGAAAAGGTTTAAAATTATTTGGTAACATGCATTGCATGTTTTTTGATAACATTCATTGCAAGTTATTAGTAATGTGCCGGGAGTATTACTTGTATCGTGCTTGGCATATAACCGGATAACTTGTATGGAATGATACTACTTGTAATGTGCATGGAATATTAAAATAAAGCATTTTAGTATTCATATTACAATTAAAGTTACTTTCTCCGGACATAAGCAGTTCCATACACATTGCAATTACGTGAATATAACATGAAAAGTAACATTACAAGTTCCAAATTAATGTTGTATAAACATCGCCGAAATATTCAATTGCACAGTAGGAGGACACTTTTTAATAGTAGTACAAAAAATATCAGGAATTTGAATACATGGTCTTTACTTCTTTAGGTATACTTAAAAATTCTAAAAATCAGAATTTGAATAAAATTATTTTTAAAGGAAAACATTTGGTGATCATTCTTTGACCAAAATTTCAAGTAAATTTTGTATTTCATTATGCGGCTCCTTAAAAAGACTGATCCAGGGGCCTTTGGTGTGCCAGGCCGACACTGAATAAATCAACATACATAGGCGCAATTAGAGTAAAACATTTGGGAGGGCTTCAAATCCCATATCTTTTTCAATCACTATGCCTTTCAGAAACTTTTTTTCCACCCTTACCCATCTATAAAAAATCCGTCCAAGAATAGAAGCTATAATATAAAATATAGTCGGGGCTAATAAAGTCTAGTGGAGCAAATATTTTGTGGAACTACGGATATTTTCCCCAGAAATGTGTGCAACGCAATTCAATATTCATGTTTTGAACATAATAAAATAATAATATCATAGTATCATACCATAGTATGTATATTTTATATTAATATAGTTTATTTATAGCATTATTGGTTCTTCATAATATAAATAGCAGCCAGCAGGTACATCGTATACACCGTCATAGCTGTATGGCTCATATAGTCCATATAACAATATTATAATAATTTAATATGCATTTTTTGTTAACAATATACATTTTTTATAAATACCGGCTTGGGGGGGGGGGGTGGAAACCTACCCCCCCCCCCCCCCTTGAACCGCTCCTGTAACGTGACGAATATTCACAAGTCATAACCATAGATATAATATAATATATAATATTATAATTGATATACAAATATGTACGATGTCCGGAGTTTCGGACGTTTAACTCGCCCACAACTACTGATAGTGAATTATATTAATATACCATAGATAAGTGTAATATACCTACTATCAAATATTACACAGACTAAGATAATATACAGGACGCGAAATTTGAAAACGTGTCATGGTCGGCTCATTTAACTAGCGCCTCTTATTATCAGTATAACACTATCACAGCAGTTGCCTTATCACATAATCGGTTTCAATATTGTAATCATAAATTCATTTTTAAATGCATTTTCAAATGCGTTTTCTAATTCATCGCTACTTTTTTGAATATATCATTTTTTTTATTATAGAATATAGGCTTTGACGATGGCAAAGAGGTACACCATGATGGGAGTCCCTTAGGTATCTCCAGGTAGCTTGTAATATATGAAAAATACATAGTAAAAAATTAGATTCGGGAAATACATTACACAGTGCACCTCTTTCAGCAGCTGAATCATCCGACATAAAAACGTTAGGATAAAACTTACATAAAACTTCTTAACGTAGTTAACGTAGTTCATGACACCATTGAAATCTATAAATTCTGTTCTACAAAATGAATGAGCTTTTGTATTGCTTAAAATTTGTTTTAAGTCCTAATATTGTAGAACAAAATCTTTTCTGCCGACCCAGAGGTCGTCGGCCGACTCGACTACACTTAATATTTATTTTAGCAAGTTTTTTTACTGCCCCACGCTCCTATTTAATAAGCACCGCAACGCAGGACACAGAGGGAAGTGAACACTGTGGAATTAACTTGAAACTAGATGTCAATGAATAACAACAAGTAATACGCTCTAATGACGGGCCTGAAGCACCGTCTTACTATTCATAAGAAAATTACAATATTTTATATTCATGTGTAATGGGCGCCCACTAACTAACTCTACGGGGAGCGAAATTTGAAAACGTGTCATGGTCGGCTCATTTAACTAGCGCCTCTTATCAGCACTATTATTATCAGTATAACACTATCACAGAAGTTTCCTTATCACATAATCGGTTTCAATATTGTAATCCTTAACCTGTGATATTGTCGCATAATATTGTAATGGGATTACGTAATATATTAATAAAATCTTATTATTACTTATCGCACGTAACAATATGGTAAGTTTGTTAGTTCGTGTGTTGCCTATAGCCTATGGTTGCCAAAATAGGTCTACATCTGAACAGTTTTTTCAGTAAGTACCTACATAATTGAAACAAATTTGACAATCCAAATTAAAACCTTCTGTACATTTAATTATCACCTTTTATTATTACAATACTAGATTTCCAATGGCAAAAGATGTTGGTGTACCAGTTTAGAGGCGTTATATTTTGTCATATTAATTAGTTAGTCATAAACAATAGAAGAAAACAATAAAATACAAAATAATACAAATGTATTAGTATGTGTAAGTTTTTAAAATATTAATAAAATCAATATTAAATTGTCAGTCAAAAATACTAAAAAATATATTTAAAAAGTAAAAAATTAATAATTAATAGTTAATACATTTACTTAGCACTGTGTGTGGCTCCTACAGATTTATTTGCTTCTACAAAATAATTTATGGAATGTGGCATTTTTTGTGGTTTTGGAGGCAATTGTGTAGGGTTAAATGGTTTTCGAGGTAGTTGGCTTGAAGACAGACTATTACTACTATAGCCATGCTCGGTCACATTTTTCCATTTAGGGCATCTGCCTGCAATTAATGTTTTTCTTCCTCCAATTTGAGTGACTCGTCTTGATCGAGCGGTTGGCTGCGTGCCAATTTCTTTGTTGCTACATAATTTTGGTTTTTTGGAAGTATGATTTAAGCCCGAGTACTTACCAAATGTCTCCATCGCAGAGGTTAGACTAGCATCTGTTCTCACGTTTTTTTTGTATGAATTTACAAACGATGTAATAGCTGGTAAGAAATATGTCTTATCCGAGTCAAATTTTTTCTTCATGTCTTCTACGGTTTTATTGAAACTATCCATTACTTCATCATAAGTTTGATCTATATTTTCATTATTAATCTCAGGGTCCATATTCTCATTTATTTGTTTACTTTGTTTATTCGTTTGTATGCTATTTTGATCCGAATCTTTATTATTATCTTCATTAAATTCCACATAATTCATGTCTGTAGCCGAACCATACCATCCACTCTCTATGTCAGAACATCCAGATGCTATTATGTGTAATTTTTTTTTCATGTCCTCTGTCATAGGTAAACAAATGCTCAAATCTATATTCAATTTCTGAGCTATGAACATTTGGTGTTTACATGGAAACCCTGTATCTCCACGAGGACATGAACAAATTCCAAGATCTAAATCCACAAGGTACTGAGTATTGTGAAGTATATTTGTTACATCAAAAAGCATGGGACTTGTATCAACAGATTTGTATCTTAAATACTTCTTCTGTGCTTTAGTAATACTCATAGGTATCTCCAGGTAGCTTGTAATATATGAAAAATACATAGTAAAAGTTTAGATTCGGGAAATACATTACACAGTGCACCTCATTCAGCAGCTGAATCATCCGACATAAAAACGTTAGGCCCCATAAAACTTCTTCCAGATAATGAACTTGGGGAAAATAATTTTTTCCACAGCTCCAGACCCTCAGAAATTACTGACATAGACTCACTCGTTAAAATTATTACTCCTACTGGAAGACCTCCTGCGCAACTATTAGTTTAAATTATGAAAATTTTACAACCAAATCTATCTACATTTCCCGAATCATCTATAAAAAGTATTTCTCCACATTCACTTAAACCACAACTAATCCTTTTCATTAATGGTGTGGTTATTGCTATGGCAAAATTTCCGTCATCGAGTTCCTTCATTGCAGCTGTGTCACCCAGTGTCATTCATTGTTATAATCTTTTACCGAGTCCCTGAGTGATGTCATCATATGTTCGCCATGTGAAAAACCAAAATGTTTTTTAAATGTTTTATAATAAAGGTAATAGACCAACTGCGGATCAGGAAGTTCTCCTCGATCACCAGCATATGTGTAGTAAGCATTTCCTTTATTATTTCTAAGTTCAGATTTAAATACGAACAATGCTTTTGATGGTGTTTTACCTTCCTCAAATAATTTTAGGAATTTTTCTCTTACTTATTATGTGATTATGTGTATGGTTTAATGTAACTAATGCCTTTGTTTTGATGCTAATCAATGTTTCATTTTCATTATTCCTAGGAATAAATAATAATAATATTAATAAATTAGAAAATAAAGTAATTATAGTATTAAATATTAATACATTTCATAAATTAATTAACATATAAGTTAGGACTTTCTACACAATTTTCAACATCCATTATTTAAATTCCCAAAGTAGCTTTACAGTTGTAGTGTTTTTTACTTGGAGTCGAATTTACTTTTGGTCTGGTGTTATGATGGCAGCGATAACGTTTCTATGTAAAAGTAAGTTTTTCCTAGTATGTTTTATATTAATTTATATTATTAATATTTTACCTTTAAAATAATTGTATTGGAAGATGGCTTTAATACATTCGTTGCTAAATATGTAATTTTATTTTCGTTTCTCATTGCCATTATCCAATAATAATATGTTCAACTCCAAATTCATGAATATAAAATTTTGCTTTGAACATTTGCCCTCCTAAACTTGAGTATTCTACCATTGAATACTCATATCCAGCAGGGATTTGACTCTAGATCATTAATTAGTCATTGTTAATACTTAGATTATATAATATGTCTATGTGGTATGTCGTATAGAATATTGATTATTACTTGAAGGTACCCATTTATTTGTTCCCTTCGTTCCTCCTTAACTTTTGAAGGATCATCAATATTGTCTTCGTTATTAACTTGTGGATGTGTTTTTAAATGCCTAACATATTCTTCTTTTGAGTAAATTTCTTTTCACATTCTGTGCATTTAAATTCCCTTTCTATCTCTTTATTTATAGTATTATGTTTTTGTATCGTGTGCCTTTTTAAAGAGGAATTATGTTTGAATGTCTGTTGACATTCGTCACAAACAAACTTTCTATAAAAATTCAATTTACTTACTCATCAAAGTTATAATATTATAGAATATAAAGTGGCCCATTCCAATACAAAACATGAGAACTCACAAAATAGAATCTAATCTGAAAATCCCTGTGACATTAATTGGTAATAATTGTTTATTATAAATAATATAAATAAAATGATATAATTTATGTTTTTTTTTTTACCTTTTTCAGAACTAAAAAACATGGCTACAATTTTATATCATGTTAATTTCTTTTTTAAATTTAGTATCATAATGTTGTTAAAAAAAAGTATTTTTAAAACAGTATGAAAATAATTTGTGAAATAATAAAATACGAAGTCCTTATAAAAATAAAATTTGTATATAGTACTTTAATACTATTCTAGAATGAAAATGATAATCTGAAACTGGCAACTGTAATGTTTGTTTAAAATTGTCTATAGAAAAATTGAATTTCAAGAATGACACAGACCAGCAGCGCCAGTATTTAAATAATAATTCCAATACAAAACATGAAAACTCACAAAACAATCTTAATAATGAGCAATGTATTTTTCCTACCTACATAATATTAGGTATGTAGTGTTATTCATTGCATCACAATATTTAGTTATTATTAACAATCATATTATATTGTAAATTTGTAAATATATTTTTTAATATGTATTGTATTTACTTTTTTTTTCATGTCATTGTGACCCATAGCTATTTTATGTTAGTAGTACAAACATTTAACATATTATTATAAGTAAACATAAAAAACCATATAAGTTTACACGTGCATATAATTTTATTAAAAACATTCACATAACAATTTCAAAAAATAATCATAAAGAAAAGAACAAAGGTAAACATAAAAACCAATTCAAATTTCAATTTTTAAAATTGATTACAATTTACATATAAATAAAGGATAATAAAAGAACATAGTTTAGTTAAATTACACTAAAATAACATATAGGTAAACATAAAAACCAATTCAAATTTTAAAATTCATAAAATCATTACATTACAAAAATTAACATGTTATAGAAAAAAAATAAAATGTCAAATGTACATACACTCGCACTACTGCTGATATCTAAAAAACAAAACAAAACAATATAATAATATATTATATTATTAGTATATATTTTATATTGTACACAAATAATTAGAAAAATATAAAAACCTACCCATACTAATTAATTTTTTTTTGACTAATTTATGCGACTATAATTCTATTGTTCTATGATTCTATGCACAAGACACTAAGGCACAAAAAGTGTTGAAAGACATTTTCTTTATCATGGTTAAACAGTTGATAAAATTATAAATGATAATACTGTGATAATAATATGGATGCATTTATTTTGATAGTTGAGGGGGCTAGTTAAATGAGCCGACCATGACACGTTTTCAAATTTCGCATACAGGACTAGACATGAATTGGTAGGAGGGTGTGGAGTGGTTGTACACGAAATGATATAGAGTGAGCGGTGCACAGGGGTTATTTGATCTTACCAACACTAGCGCCAAAGCGGACTACCTACGTACCACGGACTAAGATATATATTTATATAGCCATCGCCCCATAGAGTAATAATGACCAACAAGAATAGCTAATATAGGTAGAATATAATAATATACTATACTAATCTATACTCTAATTCACTAGTATTTGTATGCCTAGTAAAATACTTAAATGTATTAAAGTAGAATAATGTATCATAAATGTTGTATAACTAATTATGAAAACAATAAAGATTATAAGGACTAAAAGTTTTCTTTATTTTTATTTCCTAAAGCTACTGAGCTCCGGAATAAATGGTTGAAAGTTATTTCAAAAAATAATGGTAAGATTGTTAAACCAACACAACGAATATGTGAAAGACATTTTCATCCTAATGATATACAGAGGTCTTATTCATGTTTTCAGAATGAAATTATTAATGAAAAGGTAAATTAAAATACATACCTTAATTACACCACTGTTCATTAATTAAAAATTGTCAACAATTATTCAATCTAGGATATTATGACACAAAGAATAAAACCAAAATTAAAACAAGGTGCTATTCCGTCAGTTTTTGAAAACTCCAACAAAACACTTGACAGTACTTTAGACCAAGCCAGTTGTAGTTATGCACAAAATGAATGTCAAAATAAAAATTTATTTGAGGTAATATTGTTTGAATTCTCAACCTTTGTCAAAAACTTGGATATTTACAAGAACGGATGGGAAAAATAGAAATTAAAACTTTTGAGTCTATTCTACAAAATAGTAAATTTAATGACTCACAAAAATCTATTATTAATGAAATTTATAAATCAAGTATTATTTCAAACTATAAAGATAGAAAATACTCTGAGAATTGGATTTTGTTATGCATTCTTTTTCGTATTAGGTATAAAGCCATTCCTTAGAGTAAGTATTAAAAAAAGAGATCATATGGATGTATTTTTCATTTTTATTAGATCACCGTCTGCATATGAACTCCTAAGAACACAGCAAATTCTTCCATTGCCTTGTTTTTAAAAATATTCGTGATAATTTATAGTAAGCACTATATAAGCCCCTGAGTCTCACAGTAGCCACTTTATTTAATGTATAATAGTATAATACTATTTATTAATATAATATATTTTATAATATTAAATTGATTTATAGTACATATAATTGCTTAGTAGATGGCGTTAGTGTTGACAAGATCTAGTATCCCCGTACACCGCCCACTCTATATCATTTCATGCCTTCGTGGACATGATTAAATGTTCGTGTTCAGTAATACAATAATAATATTTGATATGAGTGAGAATATAATATTTAAGATAAAGTTTTTTTTTGATAACAACAAAATGATAACGGCGGTGGTGGTCTAATCGACTGCGTATAGACAGACCCGTGGTGGTCTAATCGACTGCGTATAGACAGACCCGTGTTCAGTCCTGTATATCTTAGTCCGTGAAATATTATAAGTTATCACTATTAATTACCATCACATTAGTACATTACCTAATTAATAGATTTGATTTTGTCGACATTGTGGTTTATCGTCTACGACAATATTATAGTTTATGACAGTATCACGGTTTGTTGTTGATGTATAACGCATTATAAGTAGGTATATTGTGAAATTATTAATTTGGAATTTATTATCTATAGGTCAATTTTTTTTTTAATACCATTGATAAGTATATATGTCTTATACCTAGACTGACATACCGTCTCCGCTCAGAATCGTTTATTTATACAATGATATTATATCATTGAATTCAAATTTAGTAATATCCATTAAACAGTGACCCACTTTTTTGTATGCTTTTGGGTGACGCCCCGGATAATTTAGATTCACAAATCATCCCCCTAGGTCCAACCAGGTGACAAGGTACCCAGCGGCAACCAGTACAAAGTACAGGTACCGTAGAGACCGGTCTACCACCT